AGCGTTCACTCTCTCGCGCGCTCTTTTAATCACAGACGCGTTTCGTTGTGATGGATTTTAATCGGTTTCCGCTCGTTCGCATTGGAATTTGCGATTTGGGGGGGGGAGGGGTTGGTGTTTTTTGTTTTTGTTTTTCATTCGTTTGTCTGTTTGTGTGTTTGTTTTGAGATTGTGATAGGGGGTAGGGAGGGGAGGGAGAGAAAAAGGGAAAGAGAAAGAGGAAGAAAGAGAGAGATTGATATATAATATATATATGTAGAGAGAGAGAGAGAGAGAGAGGGGGGGGGAGAGAGAGAAGGAAAGAGTGAAAGAGAAAGAAAAATTTTAATTGAGGTATAAGTGATAAAGGAGAAAGAAAAAAAAATAAGGAAAACGAGAAAGAGGGAAAAATAGAAAAAGAAAGAGAGAGAGAGAGAGAGAGAGAGAGAGAGAGAGAGAGAGAGAGAGAGAGAGAGAGAGAGAGAGAGAGACCGAGAGAGAGGGCGCTGAATATGGCCCCGTCCGACATATCTGATGGCCAGCGCGGCGGGAGCATTGCACACCTGATGGGCCGACATGTCCATATAATAAGTGAGATCACTTAACCGGTGCGTCTCTGAATGTGCGTGTGTGTGTGTGTTTGTGTGTGAGAGAGGTGTGTGTGTGTGTGTGTGTTTATGTGTGTGTGTGTGTGTGAGGTGTGTGTGTGGGTTACTTTGCTTTTACACAAACACACACACACACACACATCTCTCTCTCTCTCACACGCACACACACACACACCTCACACGCACACACACACACACACACACACACACACACACACACACACACACACACACACACACACGCACTCATACACAAACCCACCCCACTCAACTCACTACATTACTACAACGCATAACATTACCCCTGCAAAATCCTACAGTGGCGCGAACAGACAAACAACAACCGATGACCCCGCCCATATATTTGTCACCTTCTCCCCCCCCCCCCCCCCGACACAAACGTATGATTAAAACCCTTGTAGTTGGACGGAGAAATACTTTGTAAAACTCGCCGGCCTGACCTTACACTGATGGCGACTAACAACCCTGGTCTTTGTGTAGGTGATGGTGCTTCGTTGTAATAGTTAGGGTTGTGGTTAAAAGAGTGGTTGTTGGGGTGTGTGTGGGTGGTTTGAGTGGATTGGTAATTCTGTTGGTGTGTGTGTACGGTTTGTGTGGTTAAAAGAGTGGATTGGTAGTTCTGTTGGTGCGTGTGTGCGTGGTTTGTGTGGTTAAAAGAGTGGATTGGTAGTTCTGTTGGTGCGTGTGTGCGTGGTTTGTGTGGTTAAAAGAGTGGATTGGTAGTTCTGTTGTGTGTGCGTGGTTTGTGCGGTTAAAAGAGTGGAGTGGTAGTTCTGTTGGTATGTGGGCGTGGTTTGTGTGGTTAAAAGAGTGGATTGGTAGTTCTGTTGGTGTGTGGGCGTGGTTAGTGTGGTTGAAAGAGTGGATTGGTAGTTCTGTTGTGTGTGCGTGGTTTGTGCGGTTAAAAGAGTGGAGTGGTAGTTCTGTTGGTATGTGGGCGTGGTTAGTGTGGTTAAAAGAGTGGAGTGGTAGTTCTGTTGGTATGTGGGCGTGGTTAGTGTGGTTAAAAGAGTGGATTGGTAGTTCTGTTGGTGTGTGTGCGTGGTTTGTGTGGTTAAAAGAGTGGATTGGTAGTTCTGTTGTGTATGCGTGGTTTGTGCGGTTAAAAGAGTGGAGTGGTAGTTCTGTTGGTATGTGGGCGTGGTTTGTGTGGTTAAAAGAGTGGATTGGTAGTTGTGTTGGCGTGTGTGGGTGGTTTGTGTGGTTAAAAGAGTGGATTGGTAGTTCTGTTGGTGTGTGTGTGTGGTTAAGAGTGGATTGGTAGTTCTATTGGTGTGTGGGCGTGGTTTGTGTGGTTAAAAGAGTGGATTGGTAGTTCTGTTGGTGTGTGGGCGTGGTTAGTGTGGTTGAAAGAGTGGATTGGTAGTTCTGTTGGTGTGTGGGCGTGGTTAGTGTGGTTGAAAGAGTGGATTGGTAGTTCTGTTGGTGTGTGGGCGTGGTTTGTGTGGTTAAAAGAGTGGATTGGTAGTTCTGTTGGTGTGTGTGTGTGGTTTGTGTGGTTAAAAGAGTGGATTGGTAGTTGTGTTGGCGTGTGTGGGTGGTTTGTGTGGTTAAAAGAGTGGATTGGTAGTTCTGTTGGTGTGTGTGTGTGGTTAAGAGTGGATTGGTAGTTCTATTGGTGTGTGGGCGTGGTTTGTGTGGTTAAAAGAGTGGATTGGTAGTTCTGTTGGTGTGTGGGCGTGGTTAGTGTGGTTGAAAGAGTGGATTGGTAGTTCTGTTGGTGTGTGGGCGTGGTTAGTGTGGTTGAAAGAGTGGATTGGTAGTTCTGTTGGTGTGTGGGCGTGGTTTGTGTGGTTAAAAGAGTGGATTGGTAGTTCTGTTGGTGTGTGGGCGTGGTTAGTGTGGTTGAAAGAGTGGATTGGTAGTTCTGTTGGTGTGTGGGCGTGGTTAGTGTGGTTGAAAGAGTGGATTGGTAGTTCTGTTGGTGTGTGGGCGTGGTTTTGTGTGGTTAAAAGAGTGGATTGGTAGTTCTGTTGGTGTGTGGGCGTGGTTAGTGTGGTTGAAAGAGTGGATTGGTAGTTCTGTTGGTGTGTGGGCGTGGTTTGTGTGGTTAAAAGAGTGGATTGGTTGTTCTGTTGGTGCGTGTGCGTGGTTTGTGTGGTTAAAAGAGTGGATTAGTAGTTGTGTTGGTGTGTGTGCGTGGTTTGTGTGGTTAAAAGTGGATTGGTAATTCTGTTGGCGTGTGGGCGAGGTTTGTGTGGTTAACAGAGTGGAATGGTAGTTCTGTTGGTGTGGGCGAGGTTTGTGTGGTTAAAAGAGTGGATTGGTAGTTGTGTTGGCGTGTGTGGGTGGTTTGTGTGGTTAAAAGAGTGGATTGGTAGTTATGTTGGTGTGTGTGTGGTTTGTGTGGTTAAAAGAGTGGATTGGTAGTTCTGTTGGTGTGTGGGCGTGGTTTGGGTGGTCGGGTTGAGGTGGGGGGGTGGGGGTTGGTGTACCTCTCTGGGATCTTAGGATGAAACATATTTTGAAAGTTTAATGGTAGTGGTAGTACTTTTTTGGAAAGTGTTGTGGTCGTATAATACAGCTTTTGGAAGATACTTTATCTTTGGGAAGTGTAATGATAGATGATACATATTTTGAAAGTTGTAACGGAAGACTGATACATCTACAGAAAGTGTAATTAATGGTAAGCTGATACATATTTTGAAAGTTATAATGATAGGATAATGCATCTTTGGCAAGCGTGATGACAGAATGACACCAACATCTTTGAAAAGTGTAACTGCAGATTTTATTTTATTATTATTTTTTTTTTTATTATTATTATTTTTTTAAAGAGTGTGATGGTAGAATGTATATTGATATAATAGTATGTAGTCTAAATAAACTTTACTGTCTCTGCTTATTGGCATTTAAGTCCTAAATATTAATAATTATATAGATATCAACATCACATCTATTTATCTTGATAGTATTACCAATAACCTCGTTAAATATGATATTCATAGTACATATTACATACTGATATTCAATTAATAGCCAGTAATATGCCTTTCTGAATAAATACGTATAACATTACATAGTATATATCAACCTTACTGTCTCTACAAATACCAGTATATTTTTTTTCCTTAACAGTAATATGTATAATAACATTAAACATAATAGTTATTGTATACCGATGTTTAGTCCGTTAATAGATAAATATATAGTCTAAAATTAACCTTTTTTTAAACACAACCAAATGTGAATAGTCAGGACAGTATATGAAGGATAAAACTAAGAAAAAAATAACTATGCAAATTTTACGAAAGGTGCGAGAATTGGGAGTTATATAATGTAAAGTGTATAAGTAGAGCCCAAGGACGCTAAAATAAAGCACTTTAGATAAGTTTTAAACCGCATCATGTATAAAGAGCTTTTCCGCAGAATGGTCTTGATGCTTTAAAAGAGAGAGAGAAAAAAAAAATAAGGAAAGCGAGAAAGAGGGAAAATAGAAAAAGAAAGAGAAAGAGAGAGAGAGAGAGAGAGAGAGAGAGAGAGAGAGAGAGAGAGAGAGAGAGAGAGAGAGAGAGAGCCGAATATGGCCCCGTCCGACATATCTGATGGCCAGCGCGGCGGGAGCATTGCACACCTGATGGGCCGACATGTCCATATAATAAGTGAGATCACTTAACCGGTGCGTCTCTGAATGTGTGTGTGTGTGTGTGTGTGTGTTTGTGTGTGAGAGAGGTAAGTGTGTGTTACTTTGCTTTTACACAAACAAATTCACACACACACACACACACATCTCTCACACACACAAACACACACACACATTCTCACACTCACACAGACACACACACACACACACACACACACACACACACACACACCTCACACGCACACGCACACGCACACACACACACACACACACACACACACACACACACACACACACACACGCACTCATACACAAACCCACCCCACTCAGCTCACTACATTACTACAACGCATAACATTACCCCTGCAAAATCCTACAGTGGCGCGAACAGACAAACAACAGCCGATGACCCCGCCCATATATTTGTCACCTCCTCCCCCCCCCCCCCCCCCGACACAAACGTATGATTAAAACCCTTGTAGTTGGGCGGAGAAATACTTTGTAAAAGTCGCCGGCCTGACCTTACACTGATGGCGACTAACAACCCTGGTCTTTGTGTAGGTGATGGTGCTTCGTTGTAATAGTTAGGGTTGTGGTTAAAAGAGTGGTTGTTGGTGTGTGTGCGTGGTTTGTGTGGTTAAAAGAGTGGATTGGTAGTTCTGTTGGTGCGTGTGTGCGTGGTTTGTGTGGTTAAAAGTGGATTGGTAGTTCTGTTGGTGTGTGGGCGTGGTTTGGGTGGTAAAAAGAGTGGAATGGTAGTTCTGTTGTGTGTGTGCGTGGTTTGTGTGGTTAAAAGTGGATTGGTAATTCTGTTGGTGTGTGGGCGTGGTTTGTGTTGTTAAACGAGTGGAATGGTAGTTCTGTTGGTGTGTGGGCGTGGTTTGTGTGGTTAAAAGTGGATTGGTAATTCTGTTGGTGTGTGTGTGGTTTGTGTGGTTAAACGAGTGGAATGGTAGTTCTGTTGGTGTGTGGGCGTGGTTTGGATGGTCGGGTTGAGGTGGGGGGGTGGGGGTTGGTGTACCTCTCTGGGCTCTTAGGATGAAACATATTTTGAAAGTTTAATGGTAGTGGTAGTGCTTCTTTGAAAAGCGTTATGGTAGGGTAAAATAGCTTTTGGAAGATACTTTGGGAAGTGCAATGGTGAATGATACATATTTTGAAAGTTGTAACGGAAGACTGATGCATCTACGGAAAGTGTAATTAATGGTAGGCCGATACATATTTTGAAAGTTATAATGATAGGATAATGCATCTTTGACAAGCGTGATGACAGAATGACACCAACATCTTTGAAAACAGTAACTGCAGAATATTTTTTTAAAGAGTGTGATGGTAGAATGTATATTGATATAATAGTATATAGTGTAAATAGTGTAATTACTGTCTCTCTGCTTATTGCCTTTTAAGTCCTAAATATTAATACTTATATAGAAATCAACATCACATCTATTTATCTTGATAGTATTACCAATAACCTCGTTAAATATGATATTCATAGTACATATTACATACTGATATTCAATTAATAGATAGTAATATGCCTTTCTGAATAAATACGTATAACATTACATAGTATATATCAACCTTACTGTCTCTACAAATACCGGTATTTTTTTTTCTTAACAGTAATATGTATAATAACATTAAACATAATAGTTATTGTATACCGATGTTTAGTCCGTTAATAGATAAATATATAGTCTAAAAATAACTTTTTTAAAACATAACCAAATGTGAATAGTCAGGGCAGTATATGAAGGATAAAACTAAGAAAAAAATAACTATGCAAATTTTACGAAAGGTGCGAGAATTGGGAGTTATATAATGTAAAGTGTATAAGTAGAGCCCAAGGACGCTAAAATAAAGCACTTTAGATAAGTTTTAAACCGCATCATGTATAAAGAGCTTTTCCGCAGAATGGTCTTGATGCTTTAAAAGAGAGAGAGAGAAAAAAAATAATAAATAAATAAAACGGTTTATCCTCATGTCAACGGATATCATTTTGAATTTCATAGAAAACAAGAGTGCGTATTAACGTCTCTCGCAGGATAACGGTCGTTTTGGGTTAAGGAATATTGTTATTTTAATATATTTATTTTCTCTCTCTCTCTTGTTTATTTCCTTCCTCGTTTTCGGTGTGTTTCATTATTCCTCTTTTCTCAGTTTTTTTTCTCTCTCTCTTCGTAATTTGTTGTGTGTGCGTGGATGAGGAAAAGGAAAAAATGGGTTTTAGTTTTTTTATTATGATATTTAGAACGAATATGTTTTGGACTACGTTTACATTGCTCAGTAAATACTTGATTCTTTCTCTCTCTATTCCTTTTTTTCTCTTGTCCTTTATTTTTTCTCTTTCCTCATCCCTTCCTCTCGTTCTCTTGCTCTCTCTTTGTCCCTCTTTCTCCTTTTATTTTCTTTGTATCGGTCTCTCCTCTTTCTTTTTCTTTCTTTCTATCTGTCTTTTCTCTCTTTTTCTTTTTTCTTTCTTTCTTTTCTTTTTCTTTTTTCTTTCTATCTTTCGTTTCTCTCTCTCTCTCTCTATCTCTCTCTCTCTCTCTCTAGCTCTTTCTCTCTCTCTCTCTGTAGCTCTCTCTCTCTCTCTCTCTCTCTCTCTCTCTCTCTCTCTCTCTCTCTCTCTCTCTCTCTAGCTCTTTCTTTCTCTCTGTAGCTCTCTCTCTATTTTTCCTTTTGTATGATTTTTCACTACTTCTCCCTCCCTCCCTCACCTCCCTCACCCCCTCCACCCACCACCCACCACCCACCTGACAAATCTGCCTCCCTTATCGCCTTGCTAATGGAAAGACATCATATCATGTCAAAGATATTTCCCCCTCCCTCCCCCTCTCCCTCCCCTCCTCCCCCTCCTCCCATTCCCCTCCTCCCCTTCCCCCCTTCCCCTCCCCCCGGGCCTTTCTCCAGCGGCGATAGAGCGGTCGTGCCATCTTTAAAGGACGGATTTATTTCCCCATCGCATAAATACAGCTTCAAGTGCACCCGGGCGGCTGGGTGGAGACCAGGTCGAGTGGGTGAGCGTCTCTAGGAGCGTTGGAACTCTTGACGGTCTGTGGACGCGTCGACCTTAAACTCTCACTAAGAGGCGCGGGTCGAAACTATCGGAAAGCACCTGTTGACTGCGGCGAGCGTGGTTTATGCTGTCGATCATATATATATATATATATATATATATATATATATATATATATATATATATATATATATACATACACACACATATATATACATATAATTATAAATGCACACGCACAGACACACACACACACACACACACACACACACACACACACACACACACATATATATATATATATACACATAATAATATATATATGTAGATAGTTATAAAAAGATAGATATATAGATTATGTATATACACACGTGAATAAGTATATATATGTAGAGATAGGTAGATAGATAGATATAGGTGTATGTGTGTGTGTGTGTGTGTGTGTGTGTGTGTGTGTGTGTGTGTATGTGCGTGTGTGTGTGTGTGTGTGAGAGAGAGAGAGAGAATAAAGAAAAAGAGAGAGAGGAGAAGAGAAAATTGAAAGAGAAAAAGCAAGCGAGAGAGAGAGAGAGAGCTAAAGAGAGAGAAAAAAACACAGACTATCATCTCCTCCTATCAAACATTCAATGAAGATCACGCTCCCCCCCTGCCCCCTCCCTCCCCCCCAAAAAAAGTTTCTTCCACACACCACACATTTACTCCTCTTCCTCCTGCTCCGTTCCCAGAATTAGTGTCAAATACAGACATTTAACATAATGTTGACGAGCTTAAAACATGTGAACAGCGTCTCATCCACGAAATAAGTACAGAGAACAAAACGGACTTTGAAATTGTCCTTAACACCTGCAGATACTAGAGCAACAGAAAACGGGACGCGGAGAGGCTAAAAAGAGGAAAGAAAATAGACAAGGAAATGGCATAAAAGAAGAATTTATCATTTGCGGTAAAAGGAAGGAGGCGATGTGTATGTGTGTGTGGGTACGTTTGTGGTCTTATGTGGGGGTGGGGTGTGGGGGAGGAGGAGGGGAGGGATGAGGGGAAGAGAGGGAGGTGGGGGAAAACGAGAGGTGGGAGATGGGAGGGGGACAAGGGGAAGGAGGTGGGGGAAGAGGAGGAGGAGGAGGAAGAAGAAGAAGAAGAAGAAGAAGAAGAAGAAGAAGAAGAAGAAGAAGAAGAAGAGAAGAAGAAGAAGAAGAAAGAAGAGAAGAAGAGCGGGAGAGGAGGAGGAGGAAGAAGAAGGAGAAGGAAGAAGAAGAGCGGGAGAGGAGGAGGAGGAGGAAGAAGAAGAAGAAGAAGAAGAAGAAGAAGAAGAAGAAGAAGAAGAAGAAGAAGAAGAAGAAGAAGAAGAAGAAGAAGAAGAGCGGGAGAGGAGGAGGAGGAAGAAGAAGGAGAAGAAGAAGAAGAGCGGGAGAGGAGGAGGAGGAGGAAGAAGAAGAAGAAGAAGAAGAGCGGGAGAGGAGGAGGAGGAGGAGGAGAATTAAGAAGATAATGAAGTAGGAAAATTAGATGGAAAAGGAACAGAAGAAAAAGAAAGCAAAAAATAAAAAAAGACAAAATAAAAAATAAAAAAAAAATCAAATAAAAACCAAAAACCCTGAACCCCAGAAAACGACCAATGCCTTCACAAATGACTCCCTTCCCTAGCTCCTTATCACTCGCCCGCGTTGCAAAGACGAACACTATTAGACATGCCGTGATTAAGTGTTAAATGCCGTGTTTTCGGGACACATATATCCACGCTGTCGGGGGATACGTGTATAATGGAGCTCGCTGTTGTAAATGTGTCACGGCTGGAGAGTCGGTTGGGGAGGAGGAGGAGGAGGAGAAGGAGAAGGAGAAGGAGAAGGAGAAGGAGAAGGAGAAGGAGGAGAAGAAGAAGAAGAAGAAGAAGAAAAAGTAGAAGAAGAAGGAGAAGAAGGAGAAGGAGAAGGAGCAGGAGGAAGAGGAGGAGGAGAGGGAGAAGAAAGGTATGGATAATGTAGTT